ATAATGTACAAATGATATATATATATATATATATATATATATATATATATATATATATATATATATATATATATATATATATATATATATATATATATATATATAACTGACAAATCATGTGTGCAAAACTATACTCTAACTGTTCTGAGTGCTTTAACTCTTAAATTCTTAATGAGTCTTGTTTAAAGGCATATACAAACAAATAGGCAATACAAACAATTTAAACAGATAAACCGTAGTCTTTGTGAGACTTTACACGACTGTTTCTACAGAAATTAAACATTTAAATGTATGATATTTCAGTACATAATGAATGTCAGCAACAAGTTGACATAAAAAAGATCAAACATAAAATAATTTAAGGTTGTAGTCGAAAAGGAACTATTACTAAATATACCATAGTTTCTTTTTATTGACAATCAGAAAATACATCTATGAATGGAAAAAACTTAACAAAGTTATTTGATATTGTATAATATTGTGATAATAACTCAGGTCTGGACTTTTATGGATTTAAGGTCATTTGTATGCTATTGTCGGCAAAACATGGTGGCCAAAGAACCTCGGAAGGCTCCAGAAAGAACCGCAAACTCACCGGATGTTAAGGCCCAGCTTTCTCACATACATGGTTGAACCGCGACTAGGTAATAGCAAGCGCCTTAGACCGCTCGATCATCCAAATTCCATTATGAAATCAGGAGATTACCATCTATCATTTTAGTTGAATTATGTAAACATTAAAATCAGGCTAACATTGTATCTACATCATTTATAATAGTTGTACTTTAAGTAAGCAGACTATGTTGTAAAAAACCCTCAGAACTGGTATCTTATAGGAAACTCTCAAACTCTATATGTCTATCTATTTATCTGTCCATATATATATATATATATATATATATATATATATATATATATATATATATATATATATATATATATATATATATATATGTGTGTGTGTGTGTGTGTGTGTGTGCGCACACACACAAAGAGAGAGAGAGAGAGAGCACTGCTGCAGCTGCTGAAATATTGTCTATGTTTTTTGAATGACAAAAACGCTATGAGTATCAAATCCAATGCTGTTATACTCAATATCATGGAAAAAAGAATTGAGTAAAGAATGCTCTAAAGTGGTATGATCTCGCTCCTTTTGTGCAAAGCAAATAACAGCAGCCTGCGAATATTCAAAAAGCAGCATCGATCGAGGTTCCACTGACAATGTACATTATTCATTGAAGAGTAAAATGCCATTTTTGAAAAATATTCTAATATTTGCTACTGAAAGTGACTAAGTTAAGTGATATGATTGTTACTAAAATGAATACATCATGTTTTAGGTTTGCAGTGTAAGATATTATCTATGATACATTTGCTGGGCAAGCAAAGAATCAAGAATCTTCATGTAGGACGTGATTCATTTATGACATGTAAGTCAATAAAATGATTTCATTCAGAATATAATTTTGCAACAACTAATAAAATGACGATTTGTTTGGGCACCACAGCTGACTTTGTAACCAATTCTCTCCACATTCCCGTTCTTTGATCCCCTTTAGGAACTTTCGAATCCTATGTCTGTCCACTTCTTAATTTTGTCTTCCTACCTCTTTATCTCTCTGACTCTTCTTCTGCACCTTCACACTGTGTTTTGCAAGATTGTTTTTGCCAGTTCAGATGATCTCAAGACATTACCGTACCACTTCAGTTTGCGCTTTTTATTACAGTGGTCAAGATGTCTTTCCTTGTTACATGGTTCATATATGAGGTGCCCAAGATCTTATGATGGCATCTCATTTCGACGGTGTGAGTCCTTTGTGTAGGTCTGTGTAGTCTTTAACTATTTTAGGCAATGCGACAGACCATTTCCTAGTATCAATGTGAATTAAATACCTCCATATTCGTCTTTACAGTTCTGTTAACATCTCTTCTAAGTCACGTGATTGATTAATATTATATACACGACGTAAGCAAGGATTTCTTTACCTTCCGAACGTAGAATGGCTTTCCTTTATTAAATTGTATTTATCAAAGTTTATATATATATATATATATATATATATATATATATATATATATATATATATAATGTGTGTGTTTTTAAGTGTAGATGATCCTTATAGCCTTGCATACTAACTAAAGATGTCTATATTTGGTCAATAGCTCTGCATTTTTCAAAGGAGAATAGCTGTTGCCCTTAAGAGCGGAGCGTGCGTGTGTCATCCACTCCTTAGCCTCAACAAATGAACTCTATCTGCGTTGGTTTCCTTGCCATAAAATAGTTATAGTCACAAAAGCTGCACCATTCTTTAGTATTTTATATCAAATGCTTATTCTTTTTTAAAATTTCAATTAGCAATATGTAGTGATGTAATGAAGTGAAAAGTATTTCAGGATTTAACTTCAGCAATGTATGCCATTTGTATGAACGTTTATAATTTCGTACATGGTAACTCTAACATTTAGCTATTTATATATTTAGGTGGCATTAAAACACGGTATGAGGTGAAAGGAAAATAACGTGAATACATTATATATATATATATATATATATATATATATATATATATATATATGTCTATTGTTACGTATATGTAATTACATTGCTCGTGTGTTAGTGTTACAATTCTTTTTTATTTTATTTTTGTTTCATTACATATTTTTTAATGATTATTTTTTTTTAATTCGATAGTTTGTTCCAGTAAATTCAGTTTGTGTAAAACGTAAAAGTGATTACATTAGAACTATTTTAGCTTACTTTGGCTCATATATTTTGTAAACATCAAGTGATAACGATTGGCTATTTCCAAGGTCATTTCGGCCGGGAATTAACTGAATTGTAAACAGGCTTTCTTTTCTTTATATACATTTGCAGTGTGAGAATTTGGTTCTTAGATAGGGCTGTTTTTGCTACATGACAAATTTTATTTTTTATTGTGTTGTTCAAGTGTTAAGAGACCACGTGATCCATCGCGCGGGAATGAGATGATGTTTTAGTTGGGTTCAATACTCATTTTTAGTGAAATTTTATCAGTCGTTTTTAACACCTTGAGTTGTCAGATTGTTTTGAAGTTCATCTATTTTTTCTAAAATAAATTTTATACAATAATTTATTTTCTAGAAAAGAAAACAAGCTTGCTTTTTATAAAAAGTTCTGGGAGAAAGAAATTCAGTGGAAATTTATTCTGGAATTCCAATACAGAAACAAACTGTGATTCAATGGAGGGTTTGCTAAAATCAGTACAGTCATCATCTGACGTCATCGCCTCCAAATTGGAATTATATCGAGATTCAAAAACGAATTCTATTAAAATTGTTTAGTGATAGAACTTGTATTTTTCAATCTCAAGGTTAAATTTTGGATTGTTTTCACAAAAAGTATGTCCTATTTCCATTGTTTACATTGTTTTCCAGGGAAATAAATTATGTTGTTAAAATTTTGTAAACATCAAGTGATAACGATTGGCTATTTCCAAGGTCATTTCGGCCGGGAGTTAACTGGATTGTAAACAGGCTTTCTTTTCTTTATATACATTTGCAGTGCGAGAATTTGGTTCTTAGATAGGGCTGTTTTTGCTACATGATAAATTTTATTTTTTTATTGTGTTGTTCAAGTGTTAAGAGACCACGTGATCCATCGCGCGGGAATGAGATGATGTTTTAGTTGGGTTCAATACTCATTTTTAGTGAAATTTTATCAGTCGTTTTTAACATCTTGAGTTGTCAGATTGTTTTGAAGTTTATCTATTTTTTCTAAAATAAATTTTATACAATAATTTATTTTCTAGAAAAGAAAACAAGCGTACTTTTTATAAAAAGTTCTGGGAGAAAGAAATTCAGTGGAAATTTATTCTGGAATTCCAATACAAAAACAAACTGTGATTCAATGGAGGGTCTGCTAAAATCAGTACAGTCATCATCTGACGTCATCGCCTCCAAATTGGAATTATATCGAGATTCAAAAACGGATTCTATTAAATTGTTTAGTGATAGAACTTGTATTTTTCAATCTCAAGGTTAAATTTTGGATTGTTTTCACAAAAAGTATGTCCTATTTCCATTGTTTACATTGTTTTCCAGGGAAATAAATTATGTTGTTAAAATATACAAAGCTTGTTGGATTCATTCTTTTTTCTTGTCATTATTTTACGAGCCTACACGTACCACTCTGTCTAACAGATCCGAAGGATATCACGCCATCGTTTATAAAGGAAGTGATGTTGATGTTACTATTTCTTGAAGATAGCATTCAAAGCATTCAATTTAAAAACCGCACAAATAGTAAGGCGTTTGTGCCAAATTATATTAAAACCTCGATGCCTGAATGTGTTAAGTCAAACGATTAGAAACATGCTGTGCCATATAATTGCCACATTTCAACAGATATTATGTGTCAGTTCTTCACTGAACGTTTAATTCACTGTTTTAGTTAGAGTTGGAGTACACCTATTAGATATCCAGTTTTCCCGTTCTGGCAAAATCTCACCATCAATCTTTTGTATATTTCTGGTTCATCGTCTATACGTTCATATTCAATATCTGAGTGAATTTCTTGAGAATGATTTCTTTATCAGCTTTTATCTTGTGAAGCATCTCATCGATACAGTGTAGTTTCCCCAGGGTAGGTGTTGCTATCTAATCTTGTTTGAATACATTTTTATGAGCGATCTTATATTTGAGTACCTTCACCACAAAAACTAATATAAATCACCTCAAACCCTAAAAGGACGAAATGAATCATAAACAACAGATGACATGAAAATGGTAAACTTGTATCATCTCTACTCAATTGATTTAATAATGCTGACGTGCTTATACCTTATGGCAATAAATAAACATATATGCAATCTTAAGTTGGCTTCGTTCTCAAAAACGTATATGGTGTTCAATCCATTTTTAAAAGGCCGTTAATAGGACAACGAAAAACTCATAAATTGCACATTATATATTGGGCAATTTATAAGTTCTTTCGTTGTCCTCTTAACGGTCTTTTTGTACTCGCTCCGGTGGCCTAGTGGTTAGAGTTAACCGCCTCGAATACGGTAGATCGTGGGTTCGAATCCCGGCTGAGTCATTCCAAAGACTTTTCAAAAATGATACTAACAGCTGCCTCACTTAATGTTCAACATTATGAGATTAGTGTTAGGACTTGTCGGCCTGATGTCAGATTAATTTGATTGCGTGGGACATCATGTTACATGTATGGCATGATGCTTCAGTGCTAGACATTGCTATAAACTGTCACACTGCAGACATCTTAGCGATATCACTGAAAACTTGTTAAAGCTACTCTCTCTCTCTCTCTCTGTTTAGTTATTTTGTCTAGCATGATACCCGATATCACAATATTGTAAAGTAGATATTCCATTAAGGATACACGCAGTACCATCTTACCAATATTGTTGGCTTTGCGCAAAGCAATGCACTGTGGCCCTCTAACGATCCTGCTATTCATTAACAACATGGACAGCATGTTGCCCCTATAATCGTAAGATCCTGAACAGCTGCTTATTGTGCCATTACTTACTGGATACACGAACAGGTGTTCTTAGAGTAACATTTTAGTTGAATTTCCTTAGTTTGCAGCATGCTATAACTAAGTGCAGGTACAAAGGTAACACTCACGTGATAGGTCATATTAATTAGGTGGATGCTCTCGCTAATTCATTGGATATAAAGCATCATCTCAACAACTCTGATGTGGAGGGTTTATTGTATTGTAATTGTATTGTATGTATAGGTAGTATGGAAAGCATTGAGCTGCTTCTCATCTTGGAATAATCCACAAAGGAAACAATGATTTCCCTATCGTCCATTTAGCACTTAATATTGTCTATGCTTTTGCATGCTTAGTCTAAAGTTTTAAAATATCTGTTTTTTTTCCAAACCTTTTCGATTGGACTTCGAAAAAGCAATATACGTAATAAAACACATTACAATTGGTGCGACAAAATGCTTTAAATAAAAATATATAGTGAAGCAGAATTTCGCAATGTGTTAATGATTTTATATGCTAGATATTCAGTACGGCCTTTGATCAAATAAAATTAGAAATTTACTAAATTCGCGAAATATACTTTTACTGTACTAAGAAACCATGCATATACAAATGTGGAATTGTATTGTTTACAAAAGTAGATGTCATTTCTACATTTATTGAAAATGTTCATTTTTTTCTTTCTTTTTTGCAGCTCAAAACCATAATGTGGCAAGTGAAAGTTAATTAAATTATGTTTTATGGATTTTAATTAGATAATCCTTGCCATCCCCACGTAAATCACTTAAAAATGGTAGATGATGTACGATGAAGGTGACATGACACATTTTAAGAGAAATCAGGACAACCATAGCATACAGTCTCAAGGCAGGTTAACAAAAGTTTGGATGATGATCGATTTGCATCATTCCTGCTTAAAATTGATTGCAAATTTTAAGCATCTCGTAATAAAACTATATAAAATTTTATTCTAAAAATAGCATTAATTGTCTTTCAAACTTGTAACAGTTTTAGGGAGATGCTATGCCAAAACTTTGCTTGGGAAAATGTTTTTTCCCTTGAAATAACTGCTTGTTTCCACAGTCAAATGACACGGATCCTTTGAATTCCACTGCATAAATGCAAAAAATAAAAAATAAATAAAATGAAAGAATGACTAAACGATTCGCTAGAGAAAACTATGTTGTGTGAATACAGAAACTTGTAAAGATATAATAGAGAGGTACAACGTTGTACACGGTAGAAGAGAAAGTGTTTGTAAGCTTCGTAATCATATTTATACTTGATCGCTTAATTAACTTTTCCAAATAAGTTTTATTGAACGTAAGTAACTGATTTCTCGTCTAACGCCAATAAAATCTTCGACCGTTCGTTTGACAGATATGACACTTCTCATAGAAATGTTGCAATAAATTATGTTTACGTACTGCTTACCTGTTATGTATATTTAATTTATTTTGCGTGTTTGATCTTGGTCATTGATTAATGGTAGAGTTTCAACCTACCTATGTTCAGTCATTTTTTTTAAAGATATCTGCTTCAATTTGATTGAGTGAGCGTGCTAACCTTATTTACAAACTTATATTGTTCTGGAAGCGAACTTGTTTACAATTGTTAAAAGGGTCCACTTTCTGAGCATTCTATTGTGTCGTACGTCGAGTGAAATTAGTGTATATAAGACGAGTTTAACAATTATTAATTTTAAGTTCAATCTGTGAAATCGTTTACTCTTTAGTTAAGATTTAATTTGACAGGAAATAGTTTAGATATTCATTCAAACTACAGAGTGCTCATTGATATTTTCGACTAAAATACTACTTAGGATTGTTGTAAATTTATTCATTCAAAGATATTTTAGATTATATCATTGTGATACATCAAGACCTTTTGCACATTCTGTATGTCAGCACATTCAGGAATCTTGGTACCTGAATTCATCTGGAACATTTTAGAAAATTTTGTGATTTAGGACATGTGATAGGATTTATGAGGAGTTCACTTTCACTACCGAATGTATGTTCCTCTTACATTTTCACATTGTATTCTTCGTGAAAAAAATAGTTTATTTTACCACAAAATTTTATATCTTGCATCGCTTTCTGTTATTGGTTTCGAAAGATAGACGCGTAACACTGTAAAGCAACAATAAAAAATATCTCGTCCATTGATTAATGATAGACAGAACGATAATATATACTAGACGACATTAAAGGTTTTTAAATGAAATCAAAACAATGTAAAATGTGAAAACAATAACCTGTAAACGACATCTTCTATTTTAATTTTCGCTAAATAACAGTACAATATTTAATTTTAGTAGATATTGTAACGGATATAATAAAATTTGATATTGTGAAAATAAGATGGAATAAACCAGATCATCAGTGATGATGATGATGTGATGATGAAAGTTTAGTCGGTGTCGTGGGATACGCTAACAATCCGAAATTTGCTATTCAAAAGCAACACCATTGTTGATGCTAAAGCGCACTTACTGATGACAAAATACGTGGTTGAGCTGTGGAATATTTCTACTTGCACACACTGTAATGATGGCTTAATATTTAAAATTTATAAATAATTATCTCGTATATAATCTTGGCATCTTGATAATTTTGATCCCATAATTCATTATTTTGACAAATATTAGTGACAGGTCTACTCGTATTATATCCGGGATATATCTTAGATAGGGGAGGATGTAACGTAAAATGAAAATGATTACCGTATAAAATGTATATGAAATTTAGGCATGTGTATGGTCGTAAGACTATACAAATAAAGCAATGAAGCGTGATTTTATTCTTATTACTTGGAATTTTATTTTAATTAAGTTCAGAGAAGTGGGCCTCATTGTAAATTTTGGGACCTGAAGAAACAAATTTGTAAAGATTGGAAGTCTATTAATAGAGACTCTGGCCGTTAGCCATTTGCGAGTCGTGATATTTATATCTCAGTTAATACAGACATTCCGACTGGCAAATAAGATGGACTACATCAAATATTATTAAACCAGTGTATCAGTACAATTTGCGAGAAAACGGGTATCTTGCAAAAAGTGTCAAATTTTTGTCAGAGAATTCAGTATACTATATTTTCGCTTTACATGCCACGGCAAAAATCAAGTTCATACATTCAGTACTTCGAGGCATTGTATTGAATATTGTTTGCAAGAAGACAACATAAGGTAGATATGTTGTAAAATTGTGCCTGTTTTCTTTTCTCTTAAAGTTATAGGATATCATGAAAAATAGACTTGGAGACCCAGACTGAATTCCATTGCATGATGGACATTATCTGGAAATTGCTGAATCAGCAGACAGAGAACGATGGAGATGATACTTTAATTCGTTACGATAATGGCTGTCTTTTGATTTCAAATAAGTTGATATGTACTTTAAACCCATTTTATACCCACTGAAACAATTGTGTTTATAATTGACGTTGAAAGATGAACGAGGTTAGGATGTAATTATCTAATATTAGAATTTCAGCTTAATATAAATTGTCATTCCCGATAAACAAGAATGTGGAACGACTTAGTCATTTTTGCCTATCTTGCTAGAGGCATCGTCTCTTGGAAAATGGAAACGATCATATAGAAATGCAAGACATTGATCATTGTTTGTGTCTATGTGATTTTAGATAATTAGCTACTACCAATACCACTACTACTACTACTTCAAGGATGTTGAGTATTGTTACTAAGTTCTAAAGCCAGTGAAGTATTACAAGGTCATGTCAAGCTAGAATCTCATCGAGAATCTGCCAGTGAGGAATCCCGTCATATACTACAAATGCTGCTGCTAGTCTAGACATACAGTTGGTGAACTGTATATCTACCACTAATGCTCATGATAAGAATAAAATAATAATGATGATAACGAGGATTCCGATCATGTAATCGCCACATAAATAACTTTAAAGTACGACTATTCATATATGTAAGCACAATGATCAATCATTAACACGAAAATATCCTGTGTGTCTGTTTGTTTAACCTCATCGTTAACGAAACTAATCACTTGGACACGTGACATCTGTCCAGTTTCCAGATTAAATATATACAAATATCAAAAGGTTAATGATAAGCTTTCTAATTAAATCTGTAAAACAATGTATGATTGACTTTTATTTTAACAAATATAGTGTTATTGTCGATTCATTTCCTCAATAACTTCTTTATAGAACCATTCTATTGACACTGCAATAAATTTGTGTACCCAGCTTGTAATAAAATAATACTTCATGACAAGGTTATTAAAACTAAAGAGCCCATGAAGTGATATACTTCATATCTTTCTTAAATCCCAGATCTAGATTTACTAAAGCGAGACTTCGGAATAAGAAAAGGCGTAAAGCATATCCCTTCAGGTCATTCATATTAAACCGTATACAAATGGCAGATACCATACATATCTTCCTTCAAATACACTATTCCTTGGAATACACAATGTATCTTTATGACAATTAACTCAAGAGATTAACAAGCTACTCTAAAATACTTTAAAAACCCCAGCTAATTTTATTGAAGTAAATGTTCGTAATTATATTTACCATCAAATATATTTTTAATT